GAGAGAGTGAGGTAAAGCTTTGCATGCTGCGCGGGGATGACGAGAGCAGTGATATCATGCACCTAATGGGTAAGTGGCGCAAAATCTTGCCCGCGACCCTTATATTCAATTAGCGTTAATCTGTTCGAGTGGAATTACTCGATTCATACGCGGCGGTATCGCGTCGATTTGACAGGTGTACAATAGGCTTACTGTTTTATCGATTTTCATCGCCGATTAAACGACCGAGGAATCGCGTTTATTTCGCGGGAACAATTTCGTGGCTCGTTTGATGTTTATACGTTGCGATTTCCGTCGATGATTGGTTTCTAACGAATTCGAAGGTCATCGTTTGGGAATACTGCCAAGTATTTTAGGTTATGTTTATTATGTCACCGTAGTAGCTACGTTTTACGATGGTTGGGTACAGTGACGATACAGAGACGAGAATTTTTAACTTGCTAATGCCTCTCGATTGAATAAACAACGCAGGATTTCGTAAGCGCGATGGATTTTTACGTTACTAGTATTAAGAGTGATTTACTCTGCATTCGAATGACATATGCTGTCGCTTCTTTGTTTACCAGTGTAAAGTTGAGAAATGATTCACGTATAAAGTGTGCAACAAACCGGGAAATATGTATGGTGCAGTGCGTGAAGAGGTCTCTGAAAGCTGGTTACACACGTACGATTTGAGCAGTACAATGATTCCTAATATTAGTTCACCGATGAATGATGAGGAGCACGTCTGCAAAATGATCTTGTATAAAGAAATCAAAGATTCAAGGTAAGGATATTAACTTAAGAATACCTCGGTGGGCCTCCTGGACCAATTTGTGTTTTGTTTTCCAGAGTACGAATATGGGATATCGTCATATTGATACCAAACCTCTTGTTTCTTTTATTCATCGCAGTGAGATTTAATAGAGCACGGCTTAAATTGAGAGCAACGAGTAGTCCAATATTTTTTGCATTTTATGGACTTGTCATTTGTAACATAGTGATTTCAGTAATAAGATGTATCGTTTCAATGACTGTAAATGCAGCAGCTACCGTTGGTGGCAAAGCAGACAAAATACTGTGGGTAACAGTGAGATTTTTCCTGTTGTCCACAGAGATGAGCGTGGTTATATTTGGTTTGGCTTTTGGTGAGTTGATTTTGCTTTTGTTACTTAAGATTGCTTATTACAAAATACTTGAAATACATAATTATTTATTTGTAGGACATTTGGATAGTCGCTCAAGTATTCGTAGGGTATTACTTGCCACATCATTGATAGCATTGGCTTTTACTATAACCCAAGGAACCTTGGAACTAGTTTTACCAGACGATACATTCCATATCCCTAGTAGAGATTTTTATGTGTTTGGTCATGGAGGAATGATGTTTTGGTTTTGCAGCAGTCTTGTTTTCACGATGGTAAATTTACAACGAGACAAGCATCAATGATATTTGATGCAAACAGCTGTATTATTATGATCTTGTTACAGATATATCTTTTTATATTAATACTGCCATGGACACGGTTACGAGACCGTTTAACCCTTCCAAGTATGTTGGTCAATCTTACCATGTCTAGAGCGTTTTATGTATATTTACATGATACATAAAGTATCTTCTGTTGCAGCAAGAAAAAGTTTTTACATTTACGCTGGTACATTAGCCATGCTAGATCTAGTACAATCAGTTGGTGCAGGCTTTTTAAACTACACACAAAATATGGTAGGATTATGCGTCGTGGATTTCACCGCGGCAGTTTATTTGACACTTTTTACACCCTTGGTTTATCATACATTCCTCTCTGAATTCTTTGGGTAAGTTACTACGTATGTCCAAGAGTGATCCAATATCTTAGACAGTGCGTACAAGGACAGATGAGAAATTTTGTTGCAGGGTCTCACAACCTTCAATAATGTTCTCATACAAGGCACAAGTAGACGATGCAATGGATGAAGACACGGTGTCGCTGCCGCATCAACAGAGTTTCTCCTCGTTAAAAACAGACAGCGATTATATTTATCAGGTCCACACTCCATCTATTCACATGCCCTTGTATGGTTCACAAGCGTTAAAGTCGTCCCCCTCAAAGCATAAATCCTCCTTACACTCCTTAACATCGACCAAAGACTCGAAAAGTGGTAGCAGACACATCTACGATTCCCCGGTCGCTTTATACCGATCCACATCCGGCATCAAAAGTTTCTCAAGGCGCCTGAGCGCAGAGAAGAGCCCGCCCGACCTCAAGAAATACCCCCTAACGAAATCCGATAATTTTATCGATTCCAAAAACAGCTCGCTAGATTTGAAGTTGACCCACCATACCTGGAAGAGCAAATCTGCATCGCAGTTCAAGTACGGTGGGCCTAGTAGCGTTTCGAATTTGCTTTTCTCGCCGAACACCGCTAGTAGCTTCTTGTACAAATCCGGCGCAAACGATAGTAATACCAATTTATTCTCCTTGGCGAGAAAGGGTAGCTTGATGCACGAGCGAAAGCGATCGGAGGGAAATGTGTCCAGCCAGTTTTTTGAAATTCCACCGCTTGAGAACACGTTGCAATCCATTCTGGATAGCAGTACCAACAGCTCCAAAGTGAAACGTAGCACATCGAGTCGAGAGCCTTCGAGAAAAGACAACACGGCTACGCGAGACCCGCAGAATATAGAAAAGAAAGAATCGAGTCATTTGGTGCAGCACACTGACACTACAGTGTCTGAGCTTGATGTTGAAGATACATCTGACTCGATAGATACTTCAACCGTCACGCAACAATTGTTATCGAAACCGGCTTCTTCAACGGGCGAAGAAGTGCACGAAAAACGAAAGAAGAAAGATACAAAGAGAAAGGAGTCCGGTGGATTGAGTGATTATTTATTGTCTCTAACAATGTCGAAAGATGAAAAGGAAGAGAAAGATACCGAAGTTGATCCTAGTCCTTTTCCCTCCCGTCACGTTAAATCTTATACGCAGACTGAATCGTTGTAAATATTCGTTTTAAATAACCGGCATAAAGTCTAAGTCACTAGTAGTATGTAAGTTAATTAATTTTAACCTCTCAACAAAAATTCGGCTTGTTTTATCGAACAAAGAACGCGGTGAAATTTCATTTTTGAAACAGAGAAATTATAACGCGTACTTTGTCAAATAACTATATAGATTTATCCTAGTGTAAAAAATAGAGGTGCGCACAGGATGCTTTATTATCTGTACATATAAAGCATGTTTAGATTTAATTAAACTCATTAATGTAGCCGATGCACTTGGTTTTATTTATTTACACTAACTTGGCAGTGGATAACGCTAATATTTTTGTTTTGTGTTGCAACCAACATATCCCTCACACCATGACCCCCGTCATTCGCTTTTGTATTTGAAAAGGAAAAGAAAAAGAAGAAAAAAGAAAACTGAAAGAAAAGAAAAAAATGAAATATTCGAATTCTTTGCACCCAGCTTGAAAGTACCACAGTCCTTATGTTGTATATGTGCAAGTAGCGAACATTTTTACCACATATAGTACCTTTGTACGAAATGAAATTTTTATCAAAAGTATTTTAAGATGATGATCGTTCGAGCTTTCTCTTTCTCTCTTTTTTTATTTTTCTTTTTTATTAAGAAACGTTCAAAGGGGCTATATTGTCCATTCCTCACAGCTTTGTTAAACAGTGCAACGAGAACTGTTCTTTTGTTCACAGAACCACAGTGTCTATGACTCGACCCAGTTCGACACGAACTCAACACCGGTGAACCCACTGTACGCGGCGTCTCTGCAGAGTCCAGATAGCATAACCGGTTACAGTATAGATAGTCAAGAAGGCCAAGCCCAGGCGAACGGTTATCAACAGTGAACAAATTGATCATGTCTGACATGACTCGACTCGCATGTTAACGGTTACGAACATGGATCCAACGATTCGTTCAACGATCAGTTCAGTTTCATTGAAAGTGAACTACTGCGTGAAATCCATTGAGAAACAAGAAAAAAGAAAGAAAGAAAGAACGTGTTCCAGCGTTCGATTCTCCCTGATTTTCGAAGAAGGAAAAAATTAGAAAGAAAGATCCCTTAACGATTTCACTGAAAGAATCTAGTCGCTGCGAACAATTTCTAGGAGAGTGCAAACGTCGATGAAACGTCTCTTCGATTTTGTTTCTCTTTCTATGTGATAGCAACGAGATAATAATCACGATCCTGCGCTGTTTGAAAAAGGACAAAATACTCCCTTGAATCTCCCCCACCCCCCCGTACTCCATTCCCGGAGAACAGATATTTCGTACTTAATCGGTCACGGAGAAGATTCGTTTTATTAAGACACGTTTTATTTAGGGGGGAAAGAAAAAAAGAAAACGCCGTTCAGACGATGCACGAAAGGAAGGATTTCATTGCGTCGTCGTCGAAATGAAGTGATTAGCGAGCTGCTAATTTCGCGAGACAGATATACTTCATCGGTTTCGAATTCGATTTTCGACAACTTGCTTATCGTTTCTCCGTCCTCTTTACCAAAGACAGGCCCAGGCCAGGTCTCTCTGACCTTCGCGAAAGATCTGTGAGCACGATCCGCGGCGAACGTCCCTCGCTATTTTCCTATTTTTGCAATTAAGAAAGCATTTTACGAAACGACGAGCAAGGACAATATAGGAGAACGCGGTTCCCGTCACGAGCGTGAATCGGAACGCGAAGACAACCTAGAATTTTTTAAAGGGAACTCCTCGACGCTCCGCTGAAACTATTTACGGAAGACTCCATCCATCGTGTAATATGTATATATACCCTGTACTCTAGTGTAAAAGGATCGTGCTATTTATATACTAATATATTATATATTATATATATATATATATATACACAAGAATACATAACGTTATATTTATCGATATTGTATGTCCGTATTTGTGAACGTGCGCTAAT